AAGCAGTGGTTTACCTCTTGGAATTTTTATTTCCTCACCGTTAACAATATGATGATAATATTTCTCAATAAAATGTTCTTCAAAATGTAGTTCACACACACTGTGGTGAATCGATAGTTCTGTATCTCCTCTGGAGATTCTTTTCGCCCATTCTCGACGAAGTTTTCGTCTTTGGGAACTTTAAACAGTGATGCTTTTGTGGCATTTTGGTGACCAGATATACAGCCGGGAACAAAACACTTTCGTGAGAGTTTTGCCGACATATCAAATTACGTTTCAGCAGCTCATAACAAAAAAGAATACCCAAAATTATTGTGTAAAATTATTAGCTCACTTACAGCATTAAAAATAGCAGTAATGATTCGATCTTTAATATATGTCGAATTCAGGAAGCTAGCAAGTGACAGATGTCAACGATTGTAAACAAACGTCTACCTGATTTCGTAGGGCCATATGCACTGACAGCGCCCTCTATTATTTGTACGAAAAAGATTACCGTGCTTTAACACGGGGTGTATGGGGCGATAATCCCACTATATCTTCTAGTACACTATAATTCCACAATGGGAAAATTTTTTGCCTGTTGCCAGATAAAACTTATACAATTATAGTTTCCGAATTAATTTGTTTTGGCTTCATAAATCTGTTACAAATATGTACTATGTTATTCTTTTTTTATCCCATTCGATATGAAACACCCTGTATATTTTATTCATTCTTCGTATTTCCTCTTTCAGTAGTTAATGAAAAATGAAAGAATATGATTTAACAAATGTTTTTTATGACTGCATGGTGGATAAAACAGCATACAAAAATGAAATGAACTCATGTTTGACATATTACCTATTTCTCAGAAGTCAATGGCGATCTAACGGAGGATCTCTGTTTTTGCAATGGTATCTTATTTTCTAATAATCGGTTTTATATTTGGTGTCAGGTAAATTTAACAGGTAATACATACATCTGAATGTCAGATTTTCATATATTTTTTATGGGAAATTTTTAATTTTTATTTTGATGTTTAATTCTCTCTCTTTTCTCAAGCATGATGCAGTTTCTTCTAAGCCAAATAATCGTTCTCACCAAGATTATATATTATATAGATTGCATAAGTATTTTTTATATTATCTCCAGTGGCAATTCTAAAGCATTAAAAATATTTGAATTTCCACTTACTTCAACTGGAATCTTGCAGTAAGTCGGAGTTAGAATCACGAGCAAAAGAATTTTCATATTGTTACGTTTTTTATTCTTCTGTCACCAGTTGTTACGTTATTTCCTTTCGTCACGTTCGTACGGGGTTCGTATGATTTGGAGTGAATATGACGACACTACTTGTAAGTATCGAAACACCTTTATTAGCCAGTATGTCAGGACAGCTCAAACACGTTTTAACAGTCGTCGATGAACTACTATAAACACGCTGACACGATCACGACACAGCCTTCAGGTGGAAACAGCTTCAGGTGAACAGTTATCCCGTGGAAACAGCTTACTGCAAAGTACAGAGTACAGCTCCCGACTTGGCTCGGCACTTCTCGGAGCTCCACGTACTCTCGAACTCTCCACGCTAACACGCGATGCACTCGACGACACACAGAGCACGGCTCCCTCTTCGGTCGTCTTTCCCGGAGCTCAACACCCTCTTCGACGAGTACTAACCGCGATACACTACGAGACTCCTTCGGTGAACTCGACGACTCACTCGGCACCGCTGCCCTGCTGTCCCTCGATCGACTCCGCAGGGATTGACTTGCTAGACGAGACAAAGAACTGCACTCAATCTGACATCCATCACCATATCGAGGCACACACTCTCGCCCTCACGAGGCCCACTCTAACTCGGCCCTCTCGACGAGGAACACTTAATCGCCCTCGCGACGAGGCACACTCTAACTCGCCGCTCGACTGAGGCACCTCACAATCACTTACGCCCAGCATATATAGATTCGGCTTGTGTTCGAGAAATTTGGGCTAAACGGTACGAATTCGTTTCAGAAGGTTCTCCATGATATATCGCCATTTTGTCGCAAATGGCCGATTTCTCTCAATGTGGCGATTTGATTGTATGTATTTGTTTTGTATTTAGTATTTGATAGCATTTGATTTGTTAAGTTAGTTATTGCATTTTGTTCATGTTGTTTGATATTGTAATGTAATGTTATGCCTAGTTGCATTTATGCCAAGTTGTAAGTTGACTTCCTGTCCAGGGATTGTACGCCGGACGTGCAGTCTTGTAAGGGGGCAGTGTTATTAATTTGGGTATTTAAAAGCTAATGTTAGTTCAATTATAAATTAATGTTTATTCTCGCGCAGTGCAGGCGTGACGAATATTAAAAGAAGCTAAGCCGAAAATTGAAAATACAAGAGCCGTGCATTAAATAAATAAATATCTCTTTTTGATTTCGGAAAGTACTGGAAAATTCTCGCGCGTGATTTAAAATCTTTAAAGGAGGGAACATCTCATTTTGTAGTATTGCTTAGTTGTTTTGTTCAGAAAACTGCTCTGTTGATTGTAGCGAATTCGCGGATTAGCGTTCTTTAGCTGTTTGAATTACGCTCTATTGGACATTTGAGTAGTTATATAACTACTGTGAGATATTGTAATACTGCAGATAATTGAGAAAATTAAGCATTTTTGTTGTGATATATAATAATTTTGTTCAGTTCATCGGACTGGTCATTCATAACAAACTCGTACGCACGCAACAATATTTTAAGCATTTTAATTGCATTGATGTTTTCCTGTATTATTGTGAATATTGTGCATTATTTGAATTATTTAATCATTTATGTATTGCTTATAGGGCGATAAGTTTGCAATTAATTCTGGTTTTAATCGAATGTTTTATATACAAGCGTGTACTTTTGTACAGAATTTAAAATTTTTCAATTCTGAGTCTAAAACGTTTAAATTTTAAAATTACTTCAAGTAAAATTCGGTATGAGCAAATACGCCGTTGACGGGACTTGAAGATACTGTTTGGGCAGTTTTTTGCCAACCTGGCGATTTTCTAGAAGATTCGGGAAAGCCTATTTTTGAGCGATATATATTGAGCGATATTTATAGAAGTTTCCGAAGTCCATGCTGCACTACTCAAGATGTTTTACGTACTACTGACATTAATTATCAGAAATGAAAAATGTAACAAATACAATGTTTTAGCAATTTTCATTTCACATCAAGGCATTCAATATTTTGTTTTAAACAGGAGGATTTTTTCTGCTTCCAGCAAAGCTAGGTACACTTCATGTGCAACTTATTGTGTTGGTTCGTTGCATTACTTAAAGCTGAAGTGGATATATTCAACACGAAATGAATCTGTAACTACTAAAACGCTTTATATTAATGTTCAATTAACTGAGCTGGTTAACGCATTAACGACCTCGCTAACATTCACTCGAAGGAAATGGGTAAAAACCATTTTTAACATTAAAATCTAAAGAGAAAAAAAATAACAGGAACAAAAGTATTTATTTTTATTAAAGATTCAAAATGTTGCGAAAACGCAACATCAGTCAAAACCAATTACTTTTAAGATATTTGGTAATCTTTGAAATATTTGCCATACAAAGGCATATAACATTTATTAGAAACAGTTATCGATTGACTACCACAGTAGTTGCATATTTTACAATTGTTTCTTGGATTTCTCTCGATAATGTGGCTTGTGGGATCCTTTTTCGCTTCGCTCAAGGCTAAATTCTGAAAGAAAGATGTTCGGCCGATACAGTCAGTATATTAATGTGAAAGCTGCGAATCTGCAGAGTATTCATCCCTTGTTTTCAAGAATGTCAGCGCAACACTTCTTTGAAAATCTAATGGAGAAATTTTGGTGTCTACAGAAATTTAAAAAAAGTTTCGATGCATTTGATTTAGCTACATCAATCAAATTCGTAAAAATAAAACACTATCACTTTTTACTGTTTACTTAAACTCGATATACAGCGTAATAAAATTTTCCAGGAGGTCCAACTCTTCAATTCTACCTCGTATAGAGAACTCTGTACGGACTTCATTATATGTCAGGCTCTGTCCGGATTCTGTGAGGATATTGGCAAAGCAGGAACAAATTATCCAGCTGAATACCAGGAAAACACCTAAGTATCATCCAGAAGATCCATGCCATCCATAAACTTGTTACAATTTCCGATGAGTTTAGGGTGCTTTACAGATGCAGAACTGTTTTCTTTCTCTGAGTACCTATTGGCCACTGAAGGCAGGTAAATTGTATCAAAGTCAGTTCTAATGGCTATGATGGAATTTTCTTTCCATCGAATTACTGCGATGCTCTTTAACAAATGCGGTGTGAAATGTTCCACGTTCTCCTTTTTCCATTTTATTTGTAGCTCTAATAGGACATTTTCGCGGTCTGTGTTCAAGAATTATTCCATCCGCAATTTTAGCTCATTCAGTTTTGACAACATGTGTGACATAAAACTGTTGTCGAAACTGATATAATGATTTAAAGGAACTTCCACCACGCTTAAAAAATCTGTTACAGTCTGTCCACATAGTCCAAGATCAGTCAATGGATTTGAAGATTTTTCTGAATATATATCCAAATTCGGTATGTACGTACTACTTTAGGAACACGAAATACCAAACTTTGCACTCGAAAGTAATAGGTTTTCTGCGGTTTTCAAGGGAAAATAGAATAGATGAAATGCTAACGCAGAAATATAAACACAAATTGAATACACTGAATAAAAATAAAAATAATCAAGGGAATGAAATTTAGCTTACAAATTAGCCCTCAGAGAAAAAAACCATTACATTAAAGGAAGGGGAAATTATGCGAATATTGTTAATATTTTGTGAACATAGCACTAAAAAGGTAAGAGGAAGAATAAGCGAGTAAAAATGATATTCCTTGTTTCAAATATTTCTGTATTCGGATTTTAAGTACTTAAAATTTTATTTTGCTATTTATAATTTTAAGCTGAAAACTGAATTGCATGCCAGTTACTACGTTAAAATCCATTTAACCTTTTGGCAGATTGACTGGCTTAGGTACTTCAATGGATTACTTAATAATGATATCTCTGAAAATGAAATCGTTCTGGTGCAAGACATACATTTCATGAGGAAATTGGCCGATTTCATGGAAACAGCAGATAGAAGGTAAAAAAGAAATAATCATATTACTTCAATTTTATAAACTCAGTGATTGAATTTTATAAATTTATATGCAGGATATAAGCATCTAAAAAGTGATGAAGAATGAAACTTAGAGAGCTAAATTACACATTGCGGCTCTATTTTATTACAATAAAATTAAAAAAATTCCTTATTTTTAACCTTTTGATGGCTGCCATTGCATCTATCTCTACATATAATAAAAAAAGAGTCTGTCTGTGTGTGGGTCTTTCGTTTGCGCTGCGTGTAAGCTAATAGACCCACGACAACGAAATGTGGTACATAGGGTGCATCTAGACAAAGAGCCAGTGCACCTTCGAAGCGATTTTTTCAAAATTTGAATTTTTTTATGTTTTGTGACGAAATCTCGTCATTTTGAGACATATGAGCTATAGGAAAGCGAGATTTTACCCTACACACTCCATTTTCAATCGTCATAAACGTAGGCATTAGCTATTTACGAACTTAAAATAAATTTCGCTGTTTCAATAAATAGATTAATACGATTATTTAACAAAGTGAGATTACACCTTTCAACGGGATTTTTTTAAAAAAGCTTATATAAAAATGTACAGTTTATTTTCTTTGATTTTGGACAGTTAAAATTTCTCCTTTCGACTTCTTTTACAAAAGATTTTGGAATTGATAATATTTTGTATAAAAGAAAAAAAAAATGAAGCCTCCGAGTACACTTCTCCCTCTCACATCTTTACAAATGTGATTTTGGCGACAATTTTCCTTTCTTATTGTTGTTGATAGATTTTGATGAAATCGCATCATTTGAATTTTCATCTTTTAGAAATGGGTTTTGGTAACAATTTCGTTTTTTTGTGCTGTTAAGAGATTGGTTATCTTTCATTTTTATATAAATATAAATTTTTTTTTTTTTTTTTTTTTTGTTTGTGGAGTAAAATTCTGCGCGGAATTTTTTGTTTTTGAGTTTCTTCATGTTTATTTATAATAAAGTAACACACAAAATGTTATAAACCACCCCTTTGGACGTAATTTAAAATCTGAAACCTTTCAGATTTTTTTTAGTCCCATGGGGCTTTTCCTAAAAGACTAAAGGACTTTTTTTTTAAACGAAGTTGTTCTGCAGAGTAAAATTCTGCGCAGTTTTTAAATTTAACGTTTGTTGTTTCCTTCAGGCATTTTCCGGTATTTTAAAAGCCAGACGAAGGCTGGCGGCGTAGCTGCTATTTAGGGAATAAAACTTTACAAATAGTGCTTTATATGTTAATTTAAACTTAAAAAAAAAAGAAATACAGATTATTATAGATACAAATTATTGGAATCTTAGAGAAAATTTCTCCTATATTCCATTAGTTTAATGAAAATTAATCATTACGTTCTTTTAAGTATTATTCGAAAGTAAGTGTTGTTCCTGCAGCACTTAAACTATGAAACTGTTAGCCAGAGCCGTATAATTTCTAATTTACCATTGTAATTTTTAAAGCTTCTATTAATTTTCGCGACAAGAATGGGCCGCTGCGATTTCATTTCCAGGTAAGAAGACTTTGAAAAATTTTAAAAATAATAATTAATGTTTTATGACCTTCAGAAAAACGAAAAATGCGCACTGGACATCTGAGTTTGCCCAGCTAGATTATCTTCCAGTGGCTAAGACGCTGGTACTGAAAGCATCACAAGGAGTTTTCAATATAAGGTCTTTTGGGGCAAGTCGTTTCGTCAGATAATGTGAACAGAAAATCAAACTACGCACCATGGAGGTAGGAAAGTACTTCCTACCTCCAAGCTACGCCGCACAATGCGGGGGGGGGGAAGAGGACAGTTTACTCCCGTTTTACTGGGCCGATTGACAAAATTCAAATTGCGTTTTTCATGTCTCAAAATCGCGACTTAGGATATATATTAGATTTATATATGGCACCATTCTAACATAGGTATTTTGATGCAAAATCGGACTTTTTCTGAAATATCATACTAATTTTGTTCCATATTTCGATTCTACGCCAGACTGCCAAGTTTTGTAAAACTCGTACGAGTCGTTTTTAAAAAATTAGCTCTCAAAATTTTAGCTCCTCAATGTTAATTGAATTTGGCATTTTATTAATCTCTCTTTTTTTAAACTTTTTGATTTTTCTTTCACATTCGAAATTAGGTTCATTAAATAATCACCTTTTTGTGTTTTTTTTTTTGAAATTTCTATTTTAAAAATTTTAATAATTTTTCGAAACGTTTTTGAATTATAACCTATAGTTTTTACCATCATCTTCAGTAGGTGTAGTTCTAAGCACACCTGCAAAAAATTTTTTTATTCCAATTTCAGATATACACGAATTTACATTTTGTGTTGAAATTTGGCATCTTTTCTTTTTGAGCGATATAAAGCCAAATGTGGTTTATGAATTTTTTGTTACAGTGAACTGCACAGCTATTTTTAAGCTAAATTTTCAAGTAAATTTTTAGGAGAATTAATTATATGAAATGCTTTCCCTCAATGATGCGTAATAAATATTTATTAATACTATATGAAAATTTTTTTAATTATAGGTGATATTATTCAAATTTTTAACTTTAATTTCTTTCTTTTAAAAAAAATTATTTGGTGAGTGTACAGTTTACTTTCGCCGTGTTATCTCTACTTTACTTTGACTGCATTTAAATTGAATTGTCTAAACTGAGAAAG